TTTTTTTTGTTTTGTTGTCTCTACTTGTTATACCAATAAACGACAACCACCGCACATCTGCAATAAAGCGAACGTGTTTTCTTTTCTCCCTAACGCACTATCATCACTATCTTTGTGGGATCCGTCCAGGACCGCCACATGTATTCTACATCATAGAAGTCAGAAACACTTTGGATTAAATATTCAATTGAATCAATAAATTAATCATAAGTTGAAACATTTTAATTAAAATTTTATATTTATTCTATATTTAAAACCTACAGGATTTTCCTAAACTATGTCTTTGTTATAAAATACAATTTAAATTAATAAAGAATATATTATTAACAATAATTGTTTCTGTATTTCACCAACAAACTAATATTGTTTTATTTTTTCACGTCGACTGGTAATCATTTATAAAATCGATAATGCTATAATTTATTGTTCTGTAACCGATCATAGTTTAATCACCTCAATATTTAGCATCATTTGTAACATTTGCACCAAATCTGATTTTTTATTTTTCACTGGTTAGACTCAAAATAGAAAAAAAAATAGGAAAGCCATACAATTGCAGGGGTTACCGTCACTCTTCACCAATAATTAAGATCATTCAATTTTCAAGTTTGAGAATAGATTCTGGTAGCAAATGGAGTTTAATTATTATTTTTAGAAGGTTAAAGTAAAATATTATGGTTAAAGCTAATATTTATAAGCAACACTAGTTTTTGGTCAATGGTTTACGCATGTAAATTGTAACGTCACAGAATTTTAGGCCTCTATAATATCATTATCCATTAAACCCACCTTTCCCTACAACAATTAAATTATCATACCTATCGGTCTGCGACCATTACTTTAATGGTCTTTCTATTATCACAATAGCGCGTTGCAATTAAGACGAACAATAGTCATGTTATATCCTCACTTATCCCCCCAACCCCTCCTGAACATAGTGTCMGGCGAACTGTCTCCGCGGATGTGGTTACCTGCGCTGTCGGCGATACGATCGTCTCCACCGGTAAACGCTGACAAGACAGCTGAAGCCCAATAATTATGTAAAATCCCCGCGAAAAGCAACACTGTCCCCGCCCCACTCCATCACATTTT